TCCCAGGGGTTGAACTCAGGGCCTTCACACTGCACATCCCAGTTTTTTATTTCTTGTTTTGAGACAGGGTCTCGCTAAGTCACTAAGTTGGTCAGGCAGGGTTTAAATCTGAAGTCCTCCTGCCTCAGCCTCCCAGAGTACACAGATTACAGCTGCCACACCCAGCTCCTTTTTACTAGACTAAAGGAGTAGGGTCTGGGATGCCGGGAAGGGGAACAGGCTATGGAAGGTAGGGAAGGGCAGGGTATCCATACCAGATGGCACCGGGGCACGGGGATTGTGCCGCAGTCACACTCTGAAAAACAGGAGGGAGCAGGACCCACCTCACCAAAGGGGCCCGGGGGGACACCCTGTCACTGCACACAGCCCCTCCCGTGGCACAAATTCAGCCCCAGCCTGGGTGGGTCCAGCCTCCACCCATCCCCAGGAGGCCGCAGCTCCCCTGGCAGGGCAGTGGGCACCGCTGTGTCCTGCAGGCCATGGTTCCCTGGGGCGGGGTGGGGGTGGGGGGATCATCAGACAGAGCCTCCCAGATTTCCTCCGCCAGTCCTCCCTGCCCCTAGAGGGCCCTCTCCAGCAATAAACAGGGGGACTTCTGACTATCTGCTTTCCAGCCAGCTCCGCCTCGCTGTCCAGGGCTTTCCCTAAACTGTGACAACACTAACAAATCTCAGGGGCACAGGGCTCTAGCTCAGAGCCCCAGAACTGCAGGCAGAGCAGCAGGAAACTCTTCTTGAAGCTTGCTTTGTGTGCTAAGCTTTTATCTGTGCTTCAAGGACAGAGGACAGAGCAATGAATAACTCACCTCCCACCCTTGCGCTGCCACTAGCATGCTAGTGAGGCTGGAAAAAGAAGAGCTAGATAGCCAGAGGCAAACTAAAGCTTCTTGACTCTTTAAAATAACATTGTTATCTGAAGCTCACCAGTTTTCCTTACTGGTCTTTGGTGCTTCCACTGGCCTTGCCACTGGAAGGATGGTGAGTGTTAGGAAATGATATACCATCAGGAGGTTGCAATAAGGATGTTTATTTATCTTCTGCCTTTTTGAGACAGGGTTTTGCTATGTAATTCCAGCTAGGCTTGAACTCACTATGTAGCCCAGGTTGGCCTCAAACTCATGGCAATCTTCCCGCCTCAGCCTCCCTAGTACCCGGATTCCAGGCATGTGCTGCCACACCAGGCTTACAATAAGGACTTTTAAAAACAGGAAATGTTTTTGGAATAGGGAGCTGGTTTTTTTCTCCTTTTATCCTAGAGAGAGAACTGTAGGTACCTCAGAGAGTGATGCAGGTGGAGGAAGTTGCCCTGGAGAGATCTGGGAGTGTGTGTGTGTGTGTTCCAATCTCAGGGAAGTGACAGTGGTGGGGCCCTGGGGCTCCACTTGGGGAGGTGGCCCTGACCTGGAACTTACCACAGGACTTGTAGGGGCAGCATCGGTCTGGGCTCCACACCTCCACCAGGGCTGTGCCCATGCCACACTGCACTTGAGGACAGCGAAAGCTCTCACACACTGCGGGCAGGATGGGGGTGACATGTGAGTCACAGGCATCGCACAATGTGAATCCTCAGGGTGCAACACTGGCCAGGGGAGGGCACCTCCCAGCTGCCCCTTAGGTCACAATGGCCTCAGACACCCCAGGGTCTGGAGTCCCTGGAGGAATGTGGGCTCCGGAAGCTCCTGCAGGGCTACTTCCTGGAGTCCTCATGCTGGACAGAAAGGTCCCCCAGACCCCTCCCTGTGCCCGCCAGGACCCACCACACTGGTACAGCGGGCAGCAGAGCTCTGTTGTGTTCCTGTGCACGGTGAGCGCCTCCCCTTCCTGGCATTCAGGAATGGGATCTGGACAGTCGCCGCAGGCTGAGGGGTAAGAGGGGTCACCACTGTCAAAGACCCCTCAGGGTCTTGGTATGCAGCAGGTTCCTGGGGCGGAGGTGGGATCTCAACAGATCCAGTGTGGCTGGAGGTAAACTAAAAGCAGCACCTCGTGTTCTTATGTGAGCATCCTAGAGCCAGAATCTGGACAGCCTCCCCATTTGGTAGCCCCAAATCTGACCCTGAGCAGTTTCCATGCTCAGTAGCCTGGGGGTGACATGGTCCATTTCCCGTTGTCCCACACTGCTCTCTGGACAGGGATTCCAGCCTTCTCCTTACCACCCTCCAACCAGAAGACCTCAGCCTTTCCTCCCAGCCGTGCTCTCTTGGAAGCGGAGGGAAGAAAGGGGCTGTTGGCTCAAGGCATCCACCCACCACAGAAGTAGGAGGTGCAGCACGAATCCCCCAGGCGGCCTGCAATCAGGGTCTGGTCCTGGCGGCAACTGGGCACCTGCTGTGCCTCACACACATCAGGGTCACATTCTGGAGACAGGATGGAATGAATGTGGGCACTGAGAACGTGGCTTGCTGGCCACACCGGCCCTGCCCTGGCTCTGCCCTGATTCCAGCCAGGGCCCACTCCCCAGAGCTGCCCTCACCCCCCTGGACCCTTCCCACTCTCCCTACCCCTCTCACCACAGCTGTAGCTGGGGCAGCAGGAGTCTTCCCGGAAGTGCGTGCGGAGTCTGTGGCCTGGGCGGCAGGTAGGGGCGAGGCCCTCACACAAAGTCTGGTTACACACTGGCCCAAGGGCCACACGGCCTGTCACCTGGAGGCCAGGATATCCCGCTGCGCCCCACCACCACCCGACCCCCGGATGCCTGGTCTTACATCCCTAGCTCCCAGGACCCCTGCTCCTGGAAGAGGCCTCTGGGGGTCACCTGAGGACCCAGAGCTGGGACAGAAGAGCTGTAAACATTGGTGGAGATGGGCAGCATGCCAACTGCTGTTCAGTATTAACTCAAGTGATTCCCAGCCACCCCAAGGTGGGCACAGCTGATGTCAATAATTTGCCTGAGGTCATGAGTACAATAATGTAATGGAGGAAGAGCTGACCAGACTGCTGGTCTTCAGAGCCGGTGCCTCTTTAAACCTCCCTACTTTGGCTCTGGCACCCCCAAGCCCAGTTCTCCACTCTCCTTAGCTCATCCCTCACAGGGGATGCTTTAATTTTCCCAGGCCTTGTCCTAGCCAGCAAGGTGGGCAGGGCTGGAGCCTTTTGTGTGTGTGTGTGTCTGAGAATTGAACCTTTGAACTGAGTTACATTGCCATCCTCTCTCTTTCTCTCTCTCTTTCTTTCCTTCCTTCCTTCCTTTTTCTCTCTCTCTTTTCTTTCTCTCTCTCTCTTTTCTCTCTCTCTCTCTCTCTCAAACAGGGCCTTGTCAAGTAGCTAAGTTGGCCAGGCTGGGCTCAAACTTGCCATCCTCCTCCCAGAGTACTGGGATTACAAACGTGCACCACCACACCTGACTTTGGGCTGTAGCCTTTTAGCTGTCTTGGGGTGGGACTCACCGCAGACAGTCCCCAGGCAGCAGGGGTCCTCAGTGGGAAGGAGCAGGACCACTTCCCCAAAGCGTGGGCAGCTCTCTAGCCGGGGCCCTGGGCAGTCCGGGTCCACTGGGACGATGGTGTCTGGGGCTTGGCACTGCTGCTGGCAGCAGCCACTGAGAGAGCTGTTCCAGGTCTCGCCCAGGGCCCGCGGCACCCCCATGCTGTCGGTGCAGGCTGCATTGCGTATGTTGGGGATCAGGGGGTTGAGGGTGGGGGCAGAATCCCAGGATAGACCCTCCTGGGACACTGACCACCCACCCTAGCATGGACTGGGAGGACGCAGAGGGGCCTCAGTTGTGGGCCACAGGCTGCAAGGAGACCCCTGATGAGGCCCACCCTGGAGGACCCATGGGGAGGGAGGGGCCTACCGCACTTGTCCTCAGGGATGCAGAGCGAGGAGCAACGCCGGTGCAGGACGGTGCCCTCAGCACAGACACAGCCCTCGCCCAGCACCTGGCACTGCTCAGGGTCCAGGGGGCCCAGCATCCCATCCTGGCAGGTGTCGGGGGGCTCGCAGGCCGCCACACATGCCTGGTAGGTGGACTCGCTGGAGCATAGGAAGGCTGCAGGGACAGGGGGCAAAGGCCCAGCTCAGACGCCAGCAGGGTTCCCCCTGAGAGCCCTGGTCGCAGGAAGCGTGGGAAGGGATAGCAGTCTCAGCCTGCCCTGGGCAGAGAACACATCAGTCAGGGGGCTTCGTGTCCACCTCCTTGCTCTCCGTCAGGATCAGCAAAGGACAGCCCATAGCCCAAATCCCGCCTGTTCTGTTTTTGCAAATAAAGTTTTATTGGAACACAGACATGTGCATTTTTTTTCATACTGTCTGAGGCTGTTTTTGTCCTGCAAGGGTAGAGTGGAGTCTTTGTGGGCTGTATCGTCTCTGTGTCAAAGACTTCTTCACAGAGATGATGCAGCCCACAAAGCTCCAAATATTGACTATCTGGTCCTTTTAAGAAAAAGTTTGCCAACCTCTGGCTCTAGATCAATGTTTTAAACTCTCTTGACTATGAAAAGCAGATTTGACATTGTGGCCAGTGCACACAGCTTGCAGAACAGGGGGCTGACCTCAAGCCTGACTGTAAAAGAATCACTTGGAAGCTTGAAAATCGCACTGCAGGACCCTGGCCTGGGCCATCTGAAGCTGACTGGGGCCCAAACAGTAGAGCTTTTGATGTTCTGTGTGACTCAAAAGGGTAGCTGAGAGTGAAAATTCCTGACATATTGAAACAAAACATGCTTTTTATGAAATCATGCTTAATCCTCCTCTATACAATATGTACTAGAATTTTATATTCTGTTGAATTTTTAAATGCTTGCGCTGCCTCCAATTGATTTCATACCCCCTGTGTTAGATTCCGCAGTTGGAAAAATCAGTACTTGGTATGTTTTGTTTTTCCTGTCATAGGTCATATGCTTAGGTGTGGTCCTCATGTGAGCTGCCCCCAGTCTTCCTGGATCTGCTCGTGTTTGGAAATCTAACTGCCCTGCTTATCTCACTACCTAGCAGGGGTGAGAAGGGTGTGGACCTCATTTCCATCCCCAAGGAAGGAGGAGACCGAAGAAAAGCGAAACGAGCAAAAATTAAGATAAGGAAACTAATATTTACTGGTCAGTAACTTTGTGGCATATCATCCTGAAGATAGCTCTAGGAGGGAGCTATTGCTACTGTCCTCATTTTATAGGGTAGGAACTCTAATACAATAAATGAATAAAGCAAAAGCATTGCTTACATGTATTAATTTACTCATGTACATTATTATAGCTTTCTCATAAAATATAATATTTCTATATTGTAAACTTACTAATTAATATAAATCAATGAATGAGTGAGTGACTAAACTTGAGAAAGCATAGACTAAACTTGAACCTGGGAACCTTTTCATCAGATGAGACCCCGTTGCCCCCACTCACGGCAGTAGTCAGAGCGCCGCCACTGGATGCACACATGGAATTTGTGGCACATGGCCACATACACGGTCAGTGCCACGCAGGGCTGCTGGACGTACTTGGTGTCCCGGATCCACAGCTCACAGAACGACTCCGGAGAGACCTGGGCACATGCAGCAGGCAGTGCTGCCCACCCTGGTGCCCCACATCCCGGCCTAGCTCCTCCCGGCCCTGCTCAGGGCGAACAAGGAGCCTCTGCAGGTGGCTGATGCCCTCCCCAGCCCCGGAGGCGTCCCCACGTGGGGCCCAGGTGGCACATACAAAACGGTGGCAGGCGCTGAAGGTGCGGTTGGACACCATGCGAAGGCAGGGCGAGCAGTCAGCTGTAGCACAGCTGTCTGGGCGGAAACGAGTCTGGCCCACTGAGGTCAAGGAGCTGGGCACCTGCCAGCTGTCCAGAAAGGGAGCAGGGTCCTCAGCTGCACCCACCACAGAGCCGTCTTTCAGGGTGAGGTCGTTGGCTGCATCTCCATCACAGATACCTGAAAGGGGCGGGATTATCCCAGTAGCCACGAAATCACGACTCCCGAGTCCGCAACACTCACACAGGGCTCATTACAGCGACTCTTTGGACAGGGTTACTGTCGCCCCCACTTTGCAGAGGAGGGCAGTGCGGCCCAGAGAAGCTTTTCCCAAGAGAAAAATCTTTGACACGAAGAAAACAAATGCCAAACTCTTTAGGGATAAAAGGACACAATAGCTCAAACTTATTTGTACATATACGTACGTGTGTATATATACACCCAAGAGAGAGGAACAAATGAGGCAAAATGTGAACAATTGGTAAATCTGGGTAAAAGCAGTAGAAATCCCTTATACCATGTTTTCAACTTCTAAGTCTGACATATCAAAATGAAGTTACCCCCAAGGAGTCTGATTTAGCAGATTGCCAGTTAATATAACACCTATTTCCTCTTCCTCCTGGAGTCAGTTAGCCTATTTTTCCCAGCCTCCTTTGCGTGTGGCTGAGTCCCCATGGGTGGAATATGAGGGGTGCCACTTCCAAACCTCCCAACTGTCTCTGCTGTGTAGAGCTGGAAGATGGCAGAGCCACAAGAGAGAAGGGCTGTGGGTCTCTGAATCACTGATTATTTGGGAATTTATGTGTGCAAGAAATAAACTTCTGAGGTGTTAAGGCTTTGAGATGGGGCAGGTGTGTGGCTTATCTGTCACAGCTTCTGATGTGATCTGCACTTCTGGCCTCGTCTGTCATACACTATGTACATGGAATGATCAAAAATACAGTGAACACCTAAAACTTTTTTTTATTACCATAAAAGATATGCTGCTATTAATTAATACCTCTCAAAATACTCCCCCTTGCTTAAAGCACACTTAGCCCATCATTCCTGCCACTTTCTGCAGCAGTTCTGGAAATCCTTCTTATAAGTGTCTTTAGTTGTACTATTGTGGCTGCCTCAATGTTCTGGATCAATTTAAAACATTTACCTTTCATGGTCTCTTTGACTTTGGGGAAGACCCAGAAGTCAGAGGATGGCAGTCAGTGACTAAGGTAGATGAGGACACACCAGAATGTTTTTATGAGCCTGGCTTTCCACTGAATAGTGCTGGAGAGCAGCATTCACTCTATATTTTATTATACCTCGTAAAGACACTCACAAAAGAAGACTTCTCGACCACCTTCAGAATGTGGCAAGAACAATGGGATGTGGGTTTGAAGTGAGAGGGAGTATTGTGAGGGGGATTTATGGCAATATGGTTTGACAGTAAAAAATTCACTGTAGATTTTGACTGTATTCCATAATACTCTGCTCCAGATACATTCCCTGCCTGCGATTTTACGTGTACTGAGCACTCTCTGCCTGAAATGCTTTCTCATATGTCTTTTCTTCAAGGGGCCTCGTATGCACCCATCCATGCATGACCTTACTAATTCTGCGTAACACTTGCTGGTTTGCAGGGCTGTCATTCCAAAAGATTTGAGCTGAGTGCCATCATTTTCCTTTAGATTTTCATTTATCTCAGTGAGGGCTGTCACACAGGTAACCTAGGGAAGAGTTGGCCCATGGGCTCCTGCTGACTATAGTGTTCTTTGCCAAGGATGAGCAGAGTAGGCAGGAGAAATGCTGAGAAAAGGGTGGTGGTGGGGTGTGTGTGTGTAAGGAAAGGCGTTTGTGTTGATAAGAATGGAAGCTCCAGACAGTCAGTTTTGCTCACTATTCTGTCCCCAGTTCCTGGCACTTAGTAAATATGTGTTGCACAGGGAAAGGAGCACAGGCTGACTCACACATGACAGCGCATGTGCAGAGAGGGTATCCTGGAAGCAGGGCCAGGCATGTGAATGAACACAGTGGGTGCAGGGGGAGGATGGAGGGTATGTGTGTAAGTGTTCCTATGTCACCCATCATCACAGTCACAGTGTCTGGCATGGAATGTCCCTGCAAAAAGCAGTGGCCCATACCCCAACTCCTCTTGTACCTCTGCTCCGTAGCCAAACACACTCTCTGGATCATGCTACACTCAACTACTTAACCTCTCCCTTTCTTCTTTGGTTCAATGGGGATATTAAGGGCCACTTCTCAGGACTGTTGTGTGAATGGCCTGAAATAAGTGAGCTCAGAATGTGGAAGTGCTTTGTGAAGGGCTCTTCATGAAGACTGGAAGGCATTTGGGGGGTGTCAGGGAAGCTGACAGACAGTCCTGGCTGCAGTGACAGCTGGCTGAGGCCAGAGCCTAGCACCATCTTCCTGCTAGCAGCTTCAGCCCTAGAGCACAAGACATCCTCCCCAGCGCCCACTCCGCAGCTCTGTTGGTTCCTTGGTAACCTGTCCCAGTGCTTCCTAGTCCAGGGGAACCTATGTCTGTGGGAAAGATGGACCAGGGAAACATTCCTCTGCCCCCAAGTGGGGCCCCCTCACCACATAGGCCATGGCCCCGGGCCTTGCTGGTTTTGCTGGCCTCCAGGATCATGAGTCCCGAGCTGTGCAGCCACTGGATCTGGATGTTCGAGGGCGTCTGGATGACATACATGTGGCCTGTGTCCTCAATTTGGAACCCATACCTGCTCACAGGTGGCCACACAGCCTGTGAGTCCACAATCACCTTGAGGGAAGGGAAGTTCTGTGTGAGCACAGCTTGTCCATCAATAGAGCAATCAGTCCATCCATCCATTCTTTTGTTCATCCATTGGTCCATCCATCACCTGACAGACATTTATAGCCACCTCCTGCGTCAGGCTCTGCTTCAGGCACATGCACCCAAGATACTGTCCAAGGTGGCACGGGACAAGTCTGAACATATTTTTTATGACCAAAAAAACAATAAACCAAGAAATGCAACCACAGGAGGCAGACTGCACCTTGATGTCTGCATAAACACAAACACTGAGCCCTTGTAATCACTTCTGTGTTTCCTGATTCTGCTCAGGTCATTTGTTCTGGTAGATTTCCCCTCAATCCTCAGCCTTAAGGTCAAACACTCTTTCTCTGGGGTCTTCTCATCCTGTGCTAACTACTAAGACAGAATCTATTTGTTCATTTGTAAGGTTCCCCACCGGACAGTGAGTCTCTTAAGGGTAGAAACTATGTCTGATATACTCAACCCCCAACATTTGCCATTGGAGTGACATAAATTGGAATCTCAATCAATATTTGCTGAATATTCGACATGCCTTAATTCTCATGAACATTTTAAATTCAAAGCTATAATTTTGCTATATACTGACAAGGTTAAATTTGCATGAATCATGAATTATTAGTTTTATGCTATAAAACTGGGAGGAAAAGATTAAGATTATAAAATATTTATTATGGCTTAACTGTCTCCCTTCAAGAATAGACTGTTTCATTAATCACTTTGCAAATTACCTAGTGCATGAACTTTGGTGTTGGAGTAGAGGGAGCCTCAGTGCAGGAGTCAGAAAACTTTGTGACTTTGGAAAAGATTTCCCATTGTGCTGGCAGGGGGTGGGCTCCATGATCCAATGGCACATTCAATGTTCTGGGAGTGCACATCCATATCCAAAGCCCAGAGCACCTCACCTGGGTCCAGGTAGGGACAAAACCCTTGGACTCCTTCTGCTCAAGATGGAGTGATAAGATCTGGCTTTACCCTCCTGCCTAAATAACTAAAACCTCACAGAATATATGAAACATTTAGCCATTGAACAGCTGGTGGTACAGGAGTGCGATCCCTGAAAGGGGGGTAACAAACAGGGTGAGCCTTATGACTGTTTACTGCTGAGAGAGTTTCTAGGCCACAGTAAAGGGGGTAAGGACCCAGGCAGAGGCTGCAGGTTTCCCTGAATGTGAGGTTCACAGAGGTCCAGATAGTGTGAAGGGCAGAATATTGAAGAGAGAGAGAGTATGTACACTGGGGCTTTTCAGAGAGCACCCTTCGACCCACCCAGTGGTACTGTTCTGGATTTTCAGAATATCAATCAATTTGTGAAGGTGAGAAAACTACCTGAAAGAAACAGGGAGAAAAATCCTTACAGCTAAAATAGGCTGGGAATAGCTAGAGCTACCACCTCCTAGAGGGAGAAACATGGCAAAATATGAATATAAGGTAGGGAATGCAGAAAGGTATGCTTCAATATTAAGGAATCAATATGTAGAACAGAGAATAAGCAGTAAAATTTCACTTAGAATAAAGGCTACTCTGGCAAGTCTCAAAATGATCAAACCGTTCCTAAGTAGCAAAACTGTTTGTTTGTTTGTTTGTTCGGGTACTAGGGATCGAACTTGTGACCTTGGGCTTGTAAGGCAGGTGACAGAGCCACTGAGTTAAATCCCCAGCCCTAGCATAACTGTTATAAAGATCAAGAATATTTTTAAAACAAAATAAAAAACTATCTAGCAAGGTAAAACTCACAATGCCTAAAATTCAATCAAAATGTCATTTACACAAAGAATCAAGAAAATGCAACTCATAATCAAGGAAGAAAATAAGTCAGAATTGGGCCAGGGATTTACCTCAGTGGTCCCACCGCCTGCCTCACAAGCACAAGGTCCCAAGTTTGATCCCCGGTACCAAAAAAAAAAAGTCAGAATTGACCAAGAAATGACGCACATGATAGAATTAGTAGACAAGGACTAAAACACAATGGTCATAACAATATTCTTAATGTCCAAGAAAGTAGAGGGAAACATACTTATGTGGAGGTGATATGCTAAAGATATGAAAGAAATTCAGATCAGACTTCTGAGATGAAAATATAATGTCTGGGATGAAAAATACACTAATGAGATTAACATGTTTAGACACTGTAGATGAAAAGATCAATTAACTTGAAGACAGAATGATGGATAGTATCTAAAGTGAAGCATAAAAAGAAAAATGCTAAAGATCTCATTCTTTGAGAAGAACAACAAACTTGACAAACCTCTAGCCAGCTAGTCAAGGAAAGGAGGGAAGACATGAATTGCTGTCAGTGCTATGGATGCCTCCTCCCACCTCCTGACAACCATTGTCTTCTTTCACTGTAGTTTCTTTTTTCCAGAATGTCACATAAATTGAACCAAAGAATATACATATAGTGACACTTGTCCATGTTTGGCATGGCAGAATTGTCCTCTATCATGACTGTGGGTTATAGACTGGAGGTCTTTGTTAAAACTTACAGAATTGTGGATTAAACAAGAGGCATTTACATGTGTAAATTATGCTTTCATTTTTAAATGAAAAATTTAAAGACTAAGGAACTAAACTCAGACAAATTTCTGTTTAAGCTTCCATCCTATGATAAACCGTCACAAGCCATTCCTGAGAACTCTGGTGCCATGACCTTGTGTTCAGAAATCAGGGCAGACTCCGAAGGGAAAGCTGCAGGTTTGGGCTCAGAAACTGGGGAAAAGTCATGACTTTGGGACCCAGGGAGGAGACAAATCTTTCCCTCTCACATGCCTGTTGGGGGTGGCAGAGGAGGCCCTGCAGGGAGGGAGCTCCACCCTCCATCCTCTTTGACGGAGGTGACTTAAGCCAAGCTCATGAAGCCTAAATGCAGGGATCGCTTGCTTATACAGTCCCCTTCTTGAAAGGGGCCCTAGTAATGTGTTCATATGGCCACGGTTTTTTTTTTAATGGCAAACATGAGACATTTCTAACAGCACTTATTTAAGGGCACTGTCTCTTACCATTTGGACTTTCTCTATATCCTTCCTGGTACTGCTCCTCTTTTGACATTAGGGTGAGTACAAACATTCTAATTAAAATAACTTCCAAATACATCTTATTTGGCTTTTTTTTTTTTTTTTTTTTTTGGTACCAGGGATCGAACCTGGGTCCTTGTGCTTGTGAGGCAGGCAGTGGAACCACTGAGCTAAATCCCCAGCCTATTTGGCATTTTTTAAAAGAGAGTCTCCTTCCACCTGTCCCCAATCATGACTGAGTCTCAAGCCCCCCTTCCTGCCCTGAAGGCCACCTCTCTGATGCACTCACCTTCCTGTTGAAGCGGTCGATGGTGACTTGATGGGCCAGGTGAGTCACATTCAGTATCACTGGACAGAACGGAGGCCAGTTCAAGTGTCCCTGAAGAGAGAGCCCATCCTCATAGACCCGGAGTCCTGCCCTGAGTTCCCCTCCAAGTGAGCAAGTGCAACAAGGGGGAGCGTCTCTGGTCTCCCTGATCTCAGGGAAGCCCAGCCGAAAAAAGAAACAAAAATGCTTCCTCCTTCCACCTGGCTCTCAGGGGCATCCTAGTAGGAAATGCCAGGCAGCTGAGGCTCCTAGAGTGGCTCCCCCAGCTCCCCTGTACTTGGGCCATCCCAGATGCTGTGAATTGTGCAAGGCCCAGGCCAAGCCAGGAGGTGGCGCTCTCTGAGCAATTTTTCGCCATGATCCTCCAGGGAAGCTGTCCCTTGGCCTGTGGCAGGTAGGCTGTGACCCCTCTGGAAGATCAGGTGAGGTAAAGTAAAGGGAGCTGGTGCTGTGAGGGCTTCCACTTCTGTCCCCACCTCTGGCACCCCTGAAGACCCAGCTCACTGCCCAATCTCCTCTCTACACCCAGTTCAATTTCCAGGTCCTGGCAGGGTGGGAAGCAAGAAGCAGTCACCAGGTTGGCACTTTTGCAGTCCAGGACGTGGACGGTGACCATCTCGTCTGGGCTCTGTCTGAGAATGTAGATGGCCTCCTTGAACAGGGCTACGTGGGTCCCATCGAAGGTCACAAAGCTCAGGTCAGGGAAGATTGAGCACCGGCCTAGGAACAAGGGCAGGGTACAAGAATAAAGATGCCTCTGAGGCCGAGGCACCCAGGAAGATGGGGCAGGTGCCTGGGCCATCTCCTAGGTGATTCAGAGGCCCTGGGGTCCACCCTGAGAGGGTCCCTTGGATGAGGCACCTCACAGACAACAAAGGGTGCGAGGGTGGGGAACCTTCCAGGTCAGGGGTCACACGGGATGAGAGGTCTCACGGGAGAGGGTGGAGGAGCACACAGATCAAGGGTAGAGGTCACGCTGGGGTAGGCGGGTGAGGGGGACACAAAGGTTTCCGCATGACTCACAGGCACACTCCCAGAGAGGACAGCAGTGGTCCCCGCCCACTCGCACTGCGAGGCCCAGGACCCCACAGCGAGGGGGTCTAGCACCCTGAGGACAGTGCTGGGACTGGTTCACACGGATGAGCTGGCCTTCTATGCAGATGTGGCGGACACAGTCCTGCTCAGCAATGGGCTGGGGCACAGAGCAGAGGGACAGGTGAGTGCCTGCCCCGGGAGCTGCACCTCCTTCCCCACCCGACTTGCTGGAACAATGCAAGACTACCAGGGAATGATGCCTAGTAGGTGCGCATATCACTGGATTCGAGACCAAGGGACAAATACCCTGAGACTTTTGCGCTTTGCATAACTGCCTGGCCCAAGATAAGAGCTCCAGACATACGGCGTGCAGACACAACATTCATACTCACAGACACCTAAGCTTGCACACACACATGCACACACATACACTCCCTATTTCCCACAAAGATGTCTCACAACACCATGCACCACACCCAGATACACAAGCACTCATTGTAAGTCTAACATGTGAACACAAAGCTAACATCCTCGCAGCTTCCACACAGGTACTCAGGCACATCAAGCACCCACGGGCACCCCGGGCATCACACCAAGCCATCTGCCAGCAGCCTGGGCCCAGATGGGCAGGACAAGGCCGACTGTGGCTTCAGGGTCCCTGAGGAGCACCAAGAGAGCAGGGCAGGGGCACAGACAGCGACTCCACTTCCATCTCGCAGCTGGGCTGCTTGTTAAGGGACAGAGGCTGCAGTGGACCCAGGAAGGTGAGCATGTGGTGTCCAGTGGCACAGGGGAGGGAGGGACTACAGACAGGGGAACCACCCCAACAGGTCACTCACAACACAGGTGGCAGACGTGTTGGCCTCGAGGGTGGCCAAGGCTTCAGCTGAACCTGCTGCAATGCCATGGGCCGGGGCTGAGCGCCCAGACTGCTCGGTGGTGGCCTCACCCAGGGGCACCACTGGGAGCTGGGGTCCTGCTGAGGTTCCCTGGGCCTCTACCAGCTGAGGCAGCAGAACCAGTGAGCTCTCCTGGGAGGCCGTCCTGGCTGAGACACGGCTGGGGGCATGGGATGTGGCCACCAGTGGCACTGTGCCAGCCTCAGTCACCAAGGGAGCAGGAGTGTGGGCTGAGGCTGGTGTAAGCCCAGTGGGCCCACTCTTGGCAGAGCCATAGACAGAAGTGGGCAGGGACATGTGTTTGGACAGGATGGCCATTTTCTGTGTGGTGCTCTTTCGTGGGACAACAGATGCAGTACGGGCCGCCCCTGCAGCCACAGCTACAACTCCAGAGGTTGGCAATGTGGCCCCCAGAAGCAGCCCCGGAGCCACGCTTGTTGTCTGAGGGGCAGTCTGACTGGATGGGTGGACTTGGGCTGCCACAGCCAGGGTGACAGGCAGTGCGGGGCTGAGTGTCTGAGCAGGTAGAGCCAAGGCCACTGCCAGAGATGTGGCCTGATGTGCAGAGACAGTGACAGAGCCCTTGGGGCCAGGCGTGGCCACTGGGGCAGACGTGCCCACTTTGGCCAGGGGCAAGCTGGTGTCAGGAGGCAGGCCAGAGAGGAGCTGGGAAGGCCGGGTTGACTCTGGAGACAGGAAGGCTGTGGCTCCCAGCCCCTGAGCAGCTGTGGGCAGGCTGGCAGCAGCCGTGGTCTCTGGGGCCAGAGCTGGAGGCCGGGGGGCCGTGGTGCCGTGCAGGGCTGGGTGGGGCAGTGCAGTGGGGACTGAGCCTGGAGGTAGGGATGCTGGCAGGCCCATGGGCTGGCCATGCCCGGGTTCACCCTTCCCTGTGGGTAGCACCTCCTCTGGGCCGTTGGTGGCAAGGGGACTGACAAGACCCTGTTCCGTGGCTGTACTAGCCACCGCTGGGGCAGTGCTGCTCTGGGCCAGGGTGGGCTGGGGGGTCCTTGTCTTGTTTGTGACCTCAGTTACAGTAGGTGTCAGCAAAGCCTTGGGGAAGCCTGTGGAGGTAGGGGGCCTGGAGGTCACCCCAGGGGGAGCCGTAGGCCTAGAGGAGGGACTTGGTGGCAAGGAGGGAGGCGGGAGTGTCGTCCTAACAGGCAAGGAGCCATGACCTGGGACCGTCACAGCTTTGGTCATGAGTGGGAAGCGTGGTACAGGGGGGGACTGGGAGGAGACTGTGAGCTCGGGGCTCCCTGCAGAGGTCACAGTCATCCTGGTTGTCTCCATGGCACCTGATGCCATGCCAGAAGTGGGTGTCTGCAGAGATAAGGGGAGGGATGTGGATCCCAGGAGGTGGGAGGTGGCCGAGACACTGGCGGTTTCTCCCTTGCTGGCGGGGGCCTCTGTGGTGTGGACAGAGAAGTTAGAGGCAGTGAGCCCCAGTGGCTGCTGCAGGGTGGGCTGGGTGGGGCCTGGGGCCAGCGCTGGCCCCTCAGTGGCTGCCATCACGGGGTTCAGGGCTGCAGTGAGAGGGGCTGCTGGGGTGAGGGCTGGCCTGAGCATGGGGGCCGTGGGAGTTTCCGGTGGCAGCTGTGGCCGCTTGTCTCTGGGGGTGGGCAGCACTCGTCCAGGAGGCAGGGTCTCACTGCCGAGCGCCTCTGTGGGGACCCAAACAGCTGGCTCCACACCTGGGACAGACGAGAGGAGAGGTGCAAGAGGTGTGGCCGCAGTCCCGGGCGTCTCCCTGGGCAGCACTGAGGTGTGGGCCCAGAGGTAACAGGAGGGGCAGCTTCCGATTGCCTTCCAAGGTGCAGCAGGCACCTCGTCCTCTGCCTGCTCTAAAGCATTCTCTGTCCCCAGGCCCGTGCTGACCCTGCTGCTCAGGAACCAGAGGCTCCAGGCACGGGTGCTCAATAAGACCCTGGAGACCTAGGGGGAACCTGAGGAGGAAGGGGAAGTTCTGGCTGCTTACAGTCCTCCAAGTAGACGCATCTCTGCGTGACTTCATCCAGGACCTTGGGGACGGGGCAGACAGGGACACAGCCTTCTACCCTGAGGGTAGAGCAGGGGTGGGTTAATGGTCTAGAACATGGGGTTGCTCACCCCCTTTCACCTGCATAGAACACAGGTCTCAACCTTCTTTATGGCATGCATGTGCACATGCTAATCATACACTCTCACATGAACCTCCACAGAGACATCACATATTCCCAGATATGCATGCACTGCACTTGTGCACATATTTATCCCCTCCCTGGCTCAGAGGGAGACACACATGGGAGACACGCGGCTATGCATACACATGTAACATGCTGGCATGTTGCCACCTAGCTACAGATCACTCGGCCTCATGTACACCTCCAGGACACCAAATACTTACACACAGTCCCACAAACATAAGTGTATACACACACATGCATACACACAGATGCACACACCACCCACATACATGCAGCTCACACACATGCATATACACAGCTGCACATACTTAGACATATAAACACACACAAGGTTCAGCTATATGTACGTCATGCACAAATAGATATGCACATATATATCCTATGGCACACTTATAGATAAAGGCACAATTAGCCTGGTCCACACATCCCCATTCATATGAAGAGCTCATACATGGGTATATCTGAACACACATGTGTACCTTAGCACATGTTCATACTCGTGCCCACAGACTACATACAAGCCTGTCCACACATGTGTGTGCATGCACAAGTATGCGTGCATGTATGCTCAAGCACACTGCGCACACATCCTGACTGCACACCTACAGCCCCTCACCCCTCACCTGGGCACATCCTGGCATCTGGCTGCTCCTGGGTCCCGGCAGGTTTGGAAGCAGGGGCTGGCACAGGCATCATAGCGCCATTCACAGATGGGGTAGGCAGCCCCCAAGGGCTTGGCATCTAGAAAGGTGGACCATCCCAGAGTCTAGACCGAGTGAGACCGGGCACCGGTTCTGGGTCACATGGCAGAGCACAGAGGTGCCAGAGCGCTCAGGTCCTGCCCTCCCTGCCCAAGAGGAGACAAGAGGAGTGAAGGAGAAAACAAGGGGCTGTCTCCATGGTGGCGGATTGGAGCTGTGGGTCCTGGGGATGGAGTCCCGCAAACCTGGTGTAGGGCCGAGCCTGGGGCTTTGGGGGTGGATAAAGCGGACACCTGAGCCCCTAATCCCTGCCAAGGCTGCCCCACACCCTCCCCTCCGGGACCTTGGTGCCAGGCTTGCTCTGCATCACCTCCCCTTGCCCTGTCTCTGGCAGGGCCACCAGCAACCGCCATGGCGGCAAAGAAGCTCACCCTTGAGGGGTGAGGTGAAGTGCTGGGGACCCTTCCCAGCTGAGCCCAGGCCTTCCTAGGCACCTGGCCCTTGAGCTGCTCTCTCTCACTGCTGCCTCTATTCCAGAGGGGCCTCTCTGCAGGAGCCTCAAGGGCCTGAGTGCATGTGAGCACTGTCGTCGCTGCCCCTGGTAGCTGGCCTAATGCTAATGATCATGATGGCAGCCAACTTTTACACAGCACTGAGTGCTACGCTAAAGCATGTGTTTACTCTTGAGTTCTCCCAGTCATCCTAATGGAAGAAGCCACTGTTATTATCTCCAGGCTATAGATGAGTACACTGAGGCACAGATGATAGAGGGAAAATAAACTTTTCCAAGGGAGATGTTTTCAAAAGATGCCCTGTGGCCAGCACCTTGAGAAATCAAGTCTGTGGCCTATGGGGGAGGGGACTTGGAGGTGGGCAAAGGACTAGTTTCTGAACCCACAGGCTGGCAGGGAGGTGTGGGCAGGCTCCAGGAAGGCCGGAGAGAGCAGCTCCACCCTGGCAGCCCCACCCTGGCAGCCCCTCCCGACACCCTGAGCCCCACACTGTGCCTGGAGAGGAAACCGAGAACTGATATCTGGGGTGCACCTGCCATGTGTCAGGCCCAGAGCGATGCCCACAAGGGCCAGTCAACCTCACCAGGTCCTTATGAGGATTTTATAGTAAAGTCACAGAATGGAGACATGGAGGACCCCTTCTAAGTGCCAGGGACAGGGTTAGGATTCCAGCTGCAGAGCCTGAGCTCTTTCCACAGTGCCCCTGTGTCTTCCAGGGGAGGACTCAGCGAGTTCTGATGTCACAGCTGAGGATGACTCCATCCTGGTGGATGGGCATCACTGGAGGATTCACACACAACAGCTGGATGTCAGCATGGCTCCTCCAGATTAGGCAGAGGTCAGCATTTTGGGGCCAGGGTCAGAGTGAGCCTTGGCCTTGATGGGAAAGAGCAGGGAGCTGCCCTACCACTGCCCAGGGGCCTGGGCCCCCCATGGGGGGAGAGGGAGGCAGCTGGCTGCTCAGCTGGCACCAGAGAGCCATCCTTAAGCTCACAGGCAGACAACCCAAGAAACCTGAGCCGCAGGCTCCTCGAGCTGCCATCAGGATCACTTCTCCCCTCACTTCCACAAAGGCCATGTATTTTTAGCCCATGTAATTGGCCCGGGGCAGTAGGCAGGACCCAGGAAACTGGCTGAGCCCCAGGCCACACTGCGCACAGTTTCCTAGGCCACTGACATGGAGGACAGGCCACCTCTCATCCTAGAATGGCCCCCTTGTGGCCTCCATGTACCAGAAGGATGACCCTATCTCTTGGGGTGACCGGAAGGGGGCAGTGGAGAGAGGGCAGGAAGAGTGGTTGAATGAGTGCACAGTGCCAAGGACAAAGGTGATGGCGGGTGGGCACCTACCCAGAAGGCGGAAGAGTGTGCCCCTGCGAAACGCCTCTGTATGCACATAGTGCCGCAAGGCCAGCACAGAGCGTGACACGTAGAGGAAGGAGCCAGGTTTTGCCAGGGACTCCAGGGCCACCAGGCCCTCCCGCCATGTCCCCCGGTGCAGCGAGAAGGAGGCATGGTGGTGGAAGGCTTCTCCGCCCTGCCACTTAGCCAGTTCCACAGACCCATTGGCCGTGATGTAGAGGAAGAAGTTGGGTCTGTCTGCTGCCTCCAAGGAAACCACATCCGGGTCTGCACAGAGCCACATGGGTAAGGTCAGCACAGAGAAGGGTCCAGCACTCTCAGTAACTCAAGATGATGCCCCCATGGACAATCTGGGCCCCCTTCCTTCTGCCTGCTGCCTTACCTTCTGCCCACAGCAGCAAACAAAGCAGACAGAAATGGCCGCCCTGAAGGAGCTGCATGGTTTTGGACATGTGGGACCAGCTGGGGCTTGGTGATTGGCCAGGTTTCAGTGTCCTCAGCTTGGTCCTGCTACTCTTAGAATCCCAGAGGGTCAGAGCTGGCAGCCCCTAGTCCAAGCCCAGCTGGCAAGAGTCCCAGAGAGAAAGTTTGCCCAGAGGCCTGAAGCCTACGTTCTGTTTCCTGGCTCTGGAGTGTCAATCTGTAGGGCACTAGGGTGGCTGCCAGGGGGACAAGCCCCGCCCCTCCCCACAGGGTCCCATGGATCCCCAGAGTCCCAAGGCCAAGCAGGTATATGGAATGTCCCTGGATCTGAGTTCCCAGTCCCCACATGGGCTGTGTTGTGGGTGAGGGATTAACACCTAGGCTGTGGTAAGACACAGGCAGTGGGATATGTGTGGAAGGCTGGCTCCAGCCTGGTGCAACTTCACCCACCCCACCTGGCCCCATGTCCCCTTATTCCTCCCTAGGCCGCTGCAGAAAGACATGCAGTAACTGCGAGAAGGGTCCATTATTGAAGTTAAGAACAACTGCTCTTTATAAATGGCTTACTAGGCCAAGGAAGCCTTTTCCTGCCTCCTGTTAAATTCCTTCAGGATCAAGAACAAGTCTGTTCTCACCACTCTTACTCAGTATAGAATTCAGTATAGTTCTTGAAAATTTAGCTACAGCAATTAGGCAAGAGGAAAAAACGGGCTACAAATAGGAAAAATAGCAGTCAAATTATCCTCGTTTGCAGATGATATGATCCTATACTTAGAAGACCCTAAAGACTCTCAGAGCTGATAAATGAATTCAGCAATGTAGCAAGATATAAAATCAACATTAAAAATTAATAGCTTTACTATACACTGATAATGGACTGGCTGAGAAAGAAATCAGGAAAACAATTTTATTCACAATAGCTACAAATAAAATAAAGTGCCTAGGGATCAATCTCATTAAGAAAGTGAAAGACCTCTACACTGAAAACTTCAGAACACTGAAGAAAGAAATTGAAAAAAACACCAGAAGATGGAAGAACACCAATGTTCATGGATTGGCAGAATTAATATTGTCAAGATGGCCATATTATCAAAAGCAATCTACAGATTCAATGCAGTTCCATCAAAATATCAATGACATTCTCCACAGAACTAGAAAAACCAACCCTAAAATTTATACAGAAATACAAAAAACCCAAAATAGCCAAAGCAATCCAAACAAAAACAGCAAGGCTGGAGGCTTACAATACCTGACTTCAAACTGTACTATAAAAGCAATAGTAACAAAAAGAGCATGGTACTGGCACAAAAATAGACACATAGACAAATGGAAAAGAATAGAGGACACAGAAACAAACCCACATAACTATAGCCATTTGATTCTGGACAAAGAAGCCAAAAATATACGTTGGCAAAAAGATAGCCTCTTTAACAAATGGTTCTGGGAAAAACTGGATATAGCACTGTAGAAGATTGAAACTAGATTTCTATCTCTCAACCTGTACAAAAATCAATTCAAAATGGATCAAATTCCAAGGTACAAGACTCAAAAAGCCTGAAACTGCCAAAAGAAAACATATGGGAAGCACTTGAAGCTACAGGCACAGACAAAGAGTTCCTAACAGGACTCCAATAGCACAGCATCAACAAATGAAATTATATGGAATTAAAAAGTTTCAGCACAGCAAGGAAAACAGTTAACAGAGTAAAGAGACATCATACAGAATGAAAGAAAATGTTTGCCAGCTACTTTCCCAACAGAGGATTCATATCTAGAATATATAAAGAACACAAAGAGCATAACACACACACAAAAATCAAATAGCCTAAACAATAAATGGGCAAATGAACTGAACAGACACTTCTCAAAAGAAGTGCAAATGGCCAATAACTATATAAAAACACGTTCAATATTTTTAGCCATTAGTGAGTCAAAACTACTTCAAGGTTCCATCTCACCCTAATCAGAATGGGTATCATCAAGATTACAAAAGTAAATAAATAAAGAAGACCTACTATAGGAGCTTACTATACAACTCTTTGGTATATTCCTAAAGCATTAGAGTCAGCATATTCCGGGGATACCTGCATACCCGTGTTTATTGTGGGACAATTCACAATAGCCAAGATATGGAACCAGCCTACGGGCCCATCAACAGAAGAATGGATAAACAAAATGTGGTATGTTTACAAAATGGAGTTTTATTCAGCCATAAGGAAGAATGAAATTGTGTCATTTGCAGGAAAATGGATGGATCTGGAGACTATCATGTTGAACAAAATAAGACAGACCCAGAAAGACAAATATCACATGCTCTCCTTAATATGTGGAATCTAAAAAAGATAACAAAAAAGTAGAAGGAAGACTATTATTAGACAAGAGGAAGGGAATAAAAAGGAGGGGAAGGGGATATAAGGGCAGATAATGGGGGCACGGATATGAACAAAATTTATGCAATGAGCCCCCCCTCAATGCAAAGCTGGGGGGAGGGTGGCTCAAGGGAATGATGGAGGGATTCAATGATCAAAGTATGTTATGTATACATGCGAATCTGCCAAAATGAAACCCAGGGATCTGTACAATTAATTTTTAAAAAGCGAAAAAAAATTCCTATGGGAACCCAATGAAGTGGAGTCTTCATTCATTCAGCAGCAGATGCATACTGGGTGCCAAGCAATGTCCTAAGTACGGGGACCCAGTAAGGGACAAAATGAGCAGAGGCCCTGCCCTCTTGGAGCTCACACGCAGTGAAGGAGGACATTGTAATGAACAGGTAAATTCAAGGCCCAATGACCTGGCTGACAATGGCCATGGGGCAGGATTGAGGCCTGGCAGGCGAAAGCCAGAGCCCAGGATCTTAACCACCACACAGTGGGCCAGGGTGGCACCAAGGGCTAAGCACTCGCACAGGCTGTGTGACCTCAGGCAAGTCGCTTCCTTTCTGAACCTTGCCTTTGAGGTTGGCCCAGACTACGGCTTCTCAACCATTTTCCAGAAGTGCTCTTAACGGGGAGGGGCTGAACCCAGACCTTAAGGCGCAAAGGTTTTCTTTAACTTAAAACACTCAAGTCACTTTTACCTTCCCTTCTCTAAGATGTGAGGTTCTTTTGTTTTGTTTTGTTTTTTGGTACCGGGGGCCGAACTTGGGTCCTTGAGCTTGCGCAGCAGGCGGCAAAACCACTGAGCTAAATCCCTGGCCCTAAGATGTGTTTTTTTCTTAACCCCTCTGCTTGAGAGCAGCATGGCACAGAAAACAGACTCTGCAGCCCAAAGGCTGACTCCTGTCGGTGCTCAGGAGCCCAGTTCCCTTGGGTAAATACCTAACCTCTCCAGCCTCTACTCTCTCACCTATAAACTGGGGAGACAGCAACTGCAGGGAAGCCAGCCCCTCTGCACACACCTTACTTCCTGTACTAAAATAGTGACTGGAGAACAGAAATTGCCCACTAAGCAGATGGTCCAGCCTCTGAGAGGTTGGGGGACCCCCTTCCTTCCTTATCAGGACCACATGGATCTGGGGAGGCGATGCTTTCTTCAGGGGCTGGGGCACCAGGCTCCTCTCCCCCAGGGCTCCTCGTGCAGCTGTGTGAATCTGCCCTGTATTCCTACTGCACTGGGGCTCACCATTACCGATTGCTCCAGCATTACCCATAGCTCACCATTACCCATAGCTGGAGACCTCGGCTGCACCTAGGCTGGGCAGGAGCCACAGTGTCTCCCCAGCCACTTATAGCCTTTCCATGCGCCCCACGTGCCCTTGGGATGTCTTGACTCCTGAACTTAGCTCCCAAGTCCCTCCCCAACTCTTTGCCCCTCGAGGGGATATCACTTATTTCAGGAAGCCACTTCTGCCTCCCTAAGATTGAGCCAGGGGCCCTTCTCAGTGGCCCTTCAGCTGTTGTGACTGCCTCAGCCCTGGGACCCATGGGACTGTGTCCCTCACAGCCCCGATCCCCTGTGCCTAGCTGTGTGCTTGGTACGAAAATATGGTTCAGTGAAAGACAGGAAGGCAAGGAGAGAGGCTGGGGGAGGACAAGGAGGAAAGAGGGAAGAAGAGAGAAGGAAGAAGGAGGAAGAGGAGGGGGAGTTGCCCCTAGGCTTTTCTGGACCACTGCTGGCATAAAGTGAGGTGCTAAGGTCCATCTGGGCCTTGCCCTCCCTAGGATTTTTTTGAAAGATGGAAAAGATCCCTTTTTTTCCATACAGGCTAAGAAACTGACCCAGAAGCCCAGTCTGAACCAGGAAAGAGGCAGCTATTGAGTCCTCATCCCTCCAGGCTTGCAGTTGGCTCAGGGCTTGGGCATCCTCCCCTCCTCCAGCACCCGCCTCCCTCCCCAGAGGGCCTGACTGGGGCTGGACCTGGGGCGAGGGCGCTTACCGTGGGCCGTGGCCTTGTACAGAGCAGCTGTCAGCAGGAAGCTCACGATGTCCCCTGGCGCCACCTCCTCTGCCTTTACTAGGGCTATGTCACCACCCACAGACTTCATGGCCACCAGGGCCCCGCCGGCTGCCACACTGGACAGCTGGTAGGGGCCCTTACCTAGCGCTGGAGAGAGAGCCCAGTCAGAAGCCCCATCTCCCGTCCCACCCTTCCCATCCTGCCAGAGGTGGAAAGAGACAAGATGCACAGTTGGGCCTTGGGGGATGGATTTCCTATCCAGGCCCTAGGGACCTTGATGTCCAAGAGAAGGAAGGGACAAAGCTCCAAGCTGATAGTCTGAGACTGAGTCGTTTCACAGGGAGTCTGGGAAGAAGGCCACCTCTGGGGACATTGGGGCCCCCAAACGGGTCTCCGTGCCCACCTAACGCCTGACCTGTGACACAGTACAGCCACTGCTCCACTCAGAGGCTCCTCTGCCCTCAGAGAGGACAGCACACCTGGTCTCTGCCCACCCAAGGCCTGAGGGATGAAGGCCGGAGACTCGGGCCCAGTGTTCATGCTTCGCTATTTATTTTAAGCATGTGTCACTCTCCTGTCTGGGGGTTCCTGGAGCCGTGGGTGTGAGCTGGAGTGGGGCAGGGGTTCCCCAGCCAGCTGCCTTCCTGCCTCTGGGGCCCCCTGTCCTCCAGGGCCTCCTCCCCACAGCTGCCTGAGTCCCCTTCCAGCCACACTTCCAGGCTCCCCTTTGCCCTCAGGACAGAATCCAAAGACCCCAGTTTGAATCCCGGGACTCTTTGACCCGACCCCTGAATCCCCACTGGCTCCCTACTCCCTGGCTTTTGCCACACTGAACTTCTCTCGCTCCTCCTTGAGAGAGCCGAGCTGTGTCCTAGCTGTGTCTCCGGCATGCCGTTCCACCCCCTCTCAGAGTCCTCCCTGTTTTGTGCCTGGCAAACACCTACTCAGTCTTTGGGGACTAGCTGAAATGTCACCTCCCTGGTGAGCTCTCCCTGCACCCTCTTCTGTCTCACAAACATTGTCATCCTTCCTCCTCTGCACCCTGACAGCCTTTGGAACAGCCACACATTGGTCACTGCTCTATGATGAGGATCTGAATTGAGGGGTCCGCTCCCGTTTCCCCCACTAGCCATGAGGCAGGTAGTGCTGTGCTGGTGAACGGTTAACAACCAGCACTCAGGAAAAAATAAATAAATAAACAGAATCTAATGTGTAATGTGTTGCTGATTTCCATGGTGTAAATACTCCTGGCAGTGGCTAATTTCAAACTACCAACCGAATGTGGAGTTAGGGACACACTTGGTGTAGGCCAGCTCAGCACACTGCTGTGACAGGTCTCACTTACCACTGATACCCCCATGCCCCACAGGGCCCAGACTAGAGAAAATGTTGGTAGAGGAACAGAGTAAGGAATGGGTGAGTGGGTGGGTGGGTAGGTGGAAGATGCTAGAAACAGCTTGTCCTTTGCCAGTTACTGCCACCCAAAATGCCACAGAAGGGAGAAAACTCTGCTCACACTCTTTCTGAAATGTCTTGCCTGGTGTCAGGGTGACCTTGCCTGTCCCAGAAACTGCAGTTCTCCCCCCTTACAGACTCAACCTTTAGGAGTTAAAGGTTTGGGCCCATCAAGGGCTCTTGGAGGCTAACATTTTGGCTGGACCATCTCTGCATTGCCGTGCTATGCCCTGATCCAGCCCTCATCTTGCAGACCCCCTAACTGAGGTCCTTGTCTCTAGTCTGTCCCTGCCATTCCACCAGCCATACTCTTGTCAGGGAAGAATTTCTCAGACCATTATCTAATGCATAAAACTAAGGATGAGGTCTTGGGCCACCCCCATGTACACTGGCTCTGGAAGAGTGGCACCCAGGGGAGGGCTGGGGGCTTGGAAGTCAGGGGTGCATAGCACCAAGGATGGGAGAACACCTAACTCTGCCCAGGCCTGACCTTGGCTCAAATGGATGAAATTCAGTGCTAAAAACTGCTCTGTTTTTAGCAGTGCTAAAATCTATCCCGTCCCCGGTTGCCCATTCAACCCAGTAAAAAATTGACTAAATGGCTCTAATACTGGAAATTAAGCTTCTCTGGATCCTTAGTTATAACCTGTGTCTTCACCCTCATTAATAATCCAGATGTTGAAGCACGTCTTGCTACCTTGTGACCTTGGCTGTATTTGAAGATGGATCTGACAGGCTGTATGTTCTGCCCCACCTTCTTCAGAAAGAGCAGTTTGCATTTGCTTTGGCCAGCTCTCATCTTCAGGGAACCCCAGATGACCAGCTGTGGGCCTGGTGAGCTCGATTAGAAGGCTGCGGAGCTGGCATATTGGTGTAAATGGGGCTTTTACCTCCCGGTGAAGCTGCTCCAGGTGAGCTCAATCTCTGGCTAAACACGGGGGCTGCAGGAAGTACTGGGCAGAGTCCGTGGGCACCCCTGGGCCCTGCACCATCAGAACTCTCTCTGCCTGATGGGGTCCCCATGTCACAGCTCTTCAGGACAACAGAACCTCAGATTGGCTGAGGGTGATGTGGCACAAAGGCAGCGCTGGCAGCACCCTGGCCCCTGGGGTTCCACTTGGGGGTGATGAGCTTACCTTTGTTAAAGAAATCACAGTCATAAGCTGAAAGAGAGAACAGAGTCTTCTTAAGAGCCAGCACAGAGCCTGGAACAAACGGACAGAGCCAGAGCCTCTGGCATCCCAGCCTCCCTCCTCCCCCAAGAGCTGGGCCTGTCCTGTCTCCCAAACTCCAAGAGTCAAGGATGGTCTTGGATTCAGACGTCCAAGGGAGAGATAATACAGTGGTTCCTCTAGGGCCTCCAGCAAAGGCTCAAAGCCTGGCCCGGAGCAGGCTCTTGGTAATGTGTTGACAGAAGCCAGTCTTCCCAGAGCCTGGGGTGGGAAGGGGACCGGGCCCCTCTGCAGTATCTAGCTCAGCAGAGAAGCCCCCACCAAGCAGCTCGGAGGTGACGAGCGCCTACAAGCGTGGGCTCAGCGCGCCCCCTTGTGGTGAAGTAAATGGCAGCACTCCCGGAACTAGTAGCAAAGTGGTCCGGAGCACATGTTTGCACCACGCTACCTAGGGATGGACCTGGCTCCGCCACTAATCTGGGTGGCCTCAACTGTGTTAGTTAACCTCTCTCTGGGCTGCAGGCTCCCTGACTGTACCTATTTCAAAGGGTCAGTGAACAACACCCACCAAGCGGTTGGTACATGGCACATACTGAGTAGTCAATAAATGCAGCCCCCACCCGCCCTGTCCCTGGGATGAAGGGTGTGGGACACTCACGGCAGAGGCGGGGGGTCCGCCAGTCAATGGCCACCCCGTGCTGGCAGCACTGGTGGGCGTAGGCAGACACGCTGGCGCAGAAGCACTCGCAATCACCCCCGCGGCTGCACCCACACGTGTCTGTGAGGCAATTTGAGTAAAACCAAGTGACGTCAACCTGCGGGAGGTCAGAAGTCAGAGGTCAGAGGTCAGATCCTGAATGACAGACCTGTGGCTTTCCGGCTACTGGCCACCAGCTCAGACACAAAGGGGCCATGGCCTAGGGTGAGCTGTGAGGCCGGGGCCTGGGGGAGGAAGGCAGCCAGCTGAGAGGAAACTAGAACTCTAAGGGGTAGGCAGACCCCCATTCAGGACCTAACTCTTCTCCTCCCTGGGCCCAGGGCAGGACAGGCAAGAGGCAGCTCTGCAGTATAAGGCAGGTGTGTTCGATCTGCAGCAGAGCATCCTGACAAGAAGAGCCAGGCTGAGCTGGGTGCACAGAGGGCATGGAGACTGTGCCTGGTCCTCTGGGAAAAGGGGCAGACTGGAGGCAGGAGAGTGACAGAGACCGGTCTCCTCCCTGGACCTAGGTGTTTCTTCCAAGACGTGGGGGTCTGAGACCAGAAGGGACCCTGAGGGAGTGGGAAGGGACTCTGGAGGGGCTGAAGTAGGGGTCAACTCACCACAGGGTGACAAGTCGTAAACACCTCACTGAGCAGGATGCTGCACTCCTTCTTGGCAAATGGCTCCCGGAGAGGATTCAAGACACATGGGTCCCGGGGGTCCAGGGTATCGGGGCACTGAAGGGCAGAGATGGGGCTGCTGACCTCCCCACCCCCCAAAATGCCTGTTGCAGGGGCATCTGCCCTGACTCTGCCTCCTGGTATTCACATCCTTGTATAATCCCCTCCTGGGGGGGGGGGGTCTACAACTTGCTTCAAACCCAGAGAACGTGGAAAAGGGATGGGTGGACACTGTTACATGTGTGTGATGACCTGGTTATGTTACATAATACTGCAGAGCCCATCTTGCTGGTGTCTCTCCCTTGCTGGCTACGAGGAGGCAAGCAGCTGTGTGGGGAGCCCACGAGGCCCAAAGTGTGGGTGGCCTCCAGGGGCTGAGGGTGGCCTCTGGCCAACAGCTAACCAAAGAGCTGGATCTTCAGTCCTACAGTTGCCGGGAGCTAGATGCCACCCACAGCCACAGGAAGAGGCAGGGAAGCAGTTCCTTCCCATGAACCCTCCGAGAGACAGTCCATCCTGCCTGTCACCTTGATGCAGCCTGTAAGTCACTAAGCACAGGACCAAATTATGTGCCCTGATTCCTGACCCAGATAAACTGAGGTAAGATATGTGTGTTGTTTAATGCTGCTGAGTCTGATAATATTGTCACACAGCAACAGATAACTAATACACATTTCCCTCGTGTCTGCTGAACCTCTTTCTTCAGGCCTACACTTCCACTGGAGTGCTCCAGAACATGCCTAAAGATATAATAAACAACAAAGAAATATGGGGCGTGGGGGCCGGGGCAATGACAAAGGGATGGATTACAACAGGAACAGCTTTGCCTACCTCCGGATTGCATTGAGCTCTTGGCTATGCCCAATTGCTTTGCCTACTCCATCTACCCAGGCTTGTCTCCAACTACCCCTCAGCAGAGAATAAGGTCACTCAGTTAAAAAGGCAAACAGATAACACTCATATCACCATTCTCCATTGCTGCACCCATGACAGACAGAAGTAATAGATCTCAGTCCTCCGTCCTGCTGAGCATGACACCAGGCTTAGGTATTTCTCAATGCAGCTGTCCAGGCAGCCTCTCTGACTGCCCAGTTTTGGCACATGAAGTGAAATCTAGGCACCAACCCTCTCCTGGCACAGTGCCCTCACTTCACAGAGGACCACACAGAAGACAGGATCTACTCAAGGTCACCCATCAAGTTAGTGGATGATCCAAGACAAGAAACCAGGCCTCTAGCTCAATTCAGTGCTGTTTCCATCCATTATTCACAGCTTAGCAGCCTTGTCAGGAATCTTCCAAGACTCAGGGACACCGCTCTCATTCCTGCCCCTGCCAGTGTTGTCCTCCCTCCCAGAGGCCTTCTCTCTGATGCATTCATCCAACCAAACACAGCCTCCCCTTTAACCCCAGCCCTGGCCCCAGGATTATGTCAGCCATATGTCTGTCTTCTCTGTGCCGTACACAGTGCCAGGTACCAGAGGCATGGGCGTAGACAAGACGGTCGTGCTTCTGTGAGCTTCACCCTCCCTTCACAGTGGCCATCTCTCCCAGGATGGGGACTTTGCCCTCTTCCAACCCCTCCTCACTGCCCCTGGGGCTGGGCCACGTCCTCAGGCTACAGGACAGAGTCTAGGGCTGGGGATGCCAGTCAGGACCTGGGAGAACATTCTCAGGGGCAGTGTGATGCAGATGTCCCTCTTCCCTGACCTGGAGCCAGTGCCCATCTGAGTGAGGGGTGCAGCCAGCCTGGGAAAGATTTGCCCGGGAGGATTTACCTCAACTGCAGCCCAGCTGCTGCCAAACTCCTGCGGGTTGGTTAACTCTAGGTTCTCCGGGGTCCGCATCTCATTGATGGTTTTTAAGTCAAAGTTCCCACAGAGGCCTGCCAGCTGGCCCTGAAAGAAGGGCAGCAAGTCAATGCAGGCACGCCAGGGGTGAGCATGGGCCAGGAGTCCTCATGAGCCCGGGAGTCTACCATGGACCCAGAAGCAACTGCTGCAGGCTGCAGTTTGAGGAGGGCTGGGCAATGTCAGGGGAGAAGGGGCACAGAGTAGGGCAGTAGATAGGACAAAGGCAGGCTCTTCCTGGCTCCTTGGGAGGGACCGCTCACCCAAGGACACCCAGCGACTTGGCTCATGCTCAGCCCAGGTGACTACCTGCCACTGAGGCCCAGCCTGCACATGCACCGTGGTCCTCTGATCCCACAGGAGGGTGATGTGCTCCCGCGGGAAATGCACCAGCATGAAGAACCCTGCTTGCCACGTGTGCACCTCCTGCTTCTCGTCCAGGAAGCTCTCAGGACTCTAGAGGGACAGGCAGTCAGTCTTGAGGCCTGAGTGCCCCCGATACCTGGGTCAGCCACAAATCTCTGCCCAGCTCCAGGACTTCATCAATGAGTCTGCCTTCCTTGTGCAGTGACATCAATGTCTTTGCTCCTGACCCCGGCCAAGAAATTCAGCCTTGGCTCCTGACATGGTGGCACCACAGTCTTCAGCTATCCCCTGCCCCAGCCCCTTGGTAACCTGTACATTGTCTACACAACCCTCATTAGCACCGGGCCTTACAGGATTTCCCGAGTCGTCGTCAAAGATGATGACTGAGTTCCCAACATTGATGGAAATAAATTTCCTGCAGATGATACCAGAGCTGTAGCAGTTTACATTTTCTACAATCACAGAGAAGCTGAAATTCGATGTGCTCTGGGGAGAAGAAAAGGGAAGCAGTAAAACCAGGGGGAGAAAGATCTTGCTGACAGCACAGAGGTGGAGGGACATGGACTTTGAAGTAGTTTTCAGCCTACTTCTTAGTAGCTGTGTGACTTTGGACAACTTACTTGAATTCTCTGACAGCCTCTGTTTCTGGGTGCCTAATGTGGTATTTAGCATGGAGTAATGCTCCCAAAAGTATGCAATTAGTGAATGACTTAAGTATTGATATAATAGAGGTGTTTGGTGTTGACAGGGGCACCATCTTACCTACACTTTTGATGCAAACCTCTCTTTGAGGGCTATTTTCCAGCACTGAGCATTTTAAAGGACATAACTTTTTGTACAGCAATTTCACTTCTAAGAATCTAGAAATATATCCATACAACTAGTTGCTTCAATATTTAAATACTGGAAACAACTTAAATGCCCATCCAAGGGATATAACAAAATAAACTAGAGAATTTCTCTCTATAGCAATACTATTCCACTCTCAAAAAAGAAAATAGTAGTATCGCTTCTCAGCCTTTTGGCTAAGATCAAGGGTAAAAAAGAAAATAGTACATACTGACAATATGAGATAATGCCCAAGGTATATTTTTAAAGAAAAAAAGCAAATTGCAGAACTCTATTCACATAAATTGTGTGCGCACATGAATGTGTATACGTGTGTATGTACATGTGTGTCATGCATGTGTTTGATGGAAAATGAGCTTGCGGGATTCATCCCTGTTAGGAGATGTTATGCAGCTAGGGATAGAAGCAAAGATGTGAAGGGCAACGTATGTTTTTAACATACTCTTCTATGTTGTTTAACATTTTAGTGACAAGCATGCAATACTTTTGAAATTTAAAAAAATAAAATAAGCAAATAATCTTCATTTGGGGGAGTTTTAGGAATTATGTGAAAGAACCCGGTACAAGGCCTGTCCCACAGACCTCTTGCATAAAAGGTTTCATTGTTGTTATTATTGCTATTGCTCGTGTATGGTGAGATGGATAGGTCCTAGCAAAACCACATTGCCCTGGTGTGTCTGGCACTGTCCCATCTGCACTGCTGGTGCCCTCTCTCCTTCGGGGGGATCTTGCCTTCACTGTGCCACCCACATCACCAGTCCTCTTCCCCTGGGTGAACCAAGGACTTTAAGATGTGACTCCACAGCAACACTAACTCTCCAGCTGCCTTGGACTAGCTGGTGACCTTGAGCAAGTTCCTTAACTTCCCAAGTTGTTCATCTGTAATCCAACCCTGTAGGTTGCTGTGAGATTAAGTGAAAGAATCCACAAATATGGCTCAGTAGACCATCAAGTATATACTGTAATAAAAGCTCAAAAACCATTAACTCTTTCTCCTACAGACAGCAAAAGAGCGAGCCCCTCAGACCCAACAAGGCCAGGCTGTAGTGGTGAACGGACAGGTAGTGGGGTTCCCTCCAGCTCTAGTTGCCATACCTCAGGTCTCAGACCCCCCTCCCACCCAGTCATGCATCAAACTGGAGAACAGAGCATAAAAGTGCATGGACAGGTCCTTGGCCCCAGCTGCTGTGGGTTCCCATGGAGCTAGTCAGGCAGAAACACCCAGGAACTCACCTTGACCAGGTGCACTTTGCAGGCCCCCACGAAGTCAAATGGGAGCCCATCGAAGGTGCGGTAATGCCGGTCACCATAGGCAGTGCAGGTGGAGGCACAAGGGTGCAGGGTGCACTGGAACAAGCCCTGCTGGCAGAAGCTGAAACACACACAACCAGCTCGCAGGCCACCCCTTACCTCATATCCGAATACCCTTGCCTGCTGAACACACTCTGTGTGCCCTTGGGTCACCAGACACCATCAACCCTCAACAGAAGCCTGGAGGGTGTGACAGTGACCCCTATTTTATGCAGGAAACATGGGACTCACAGAGGTTAAGGACCCCCAGCCAATAAGTAATAGAGCTGAAATTTAACCCAGGTCTCTGTGGCTCCAAAGTCCGTATTCTTATCACTCCATTTCTTCATCCAACAAATATTAGGTGCCAACAATATCCCAGTCATTCTTTCTTCCAGGAGTTTGAGATATACCAGTGAACAAAACAACAAAACAAATGAAAATATACATAACACCCTCTGCCTTTTCTAGGAGGTGAAAGATATACACTGGAAAAATGTTAAAATATTTAGTATGAGTAAGTAATAGAATGCATTGAAAGGTAGAGCATGCCATGGGAAGCAGGATGAAGGCACTGGGAATGGTTGTGGGAGCAGGTTTCAATTTTGAATAGGGAGGTCAGGGGACAGGTAAGCAGAGACCTAGAGGAAATGGAAGAGCTAACTATATGGACATCCCAAAGAAGAGCATTCTGGGAAGACACCCTAGGGAACACTCAGGGAGTAACATGGCTAGAATTGATGGCACATGGGCAACAGAGTAGAAGAGGAATTGAGAGAGGTGATGGATGTCCAGATGACATGGGTCCAAGAAGGCCCCGTAAGAATGTCAGCTTTTGCTAAGAATGAAAGAAGTCACTGGAGGATGTGATCATGGGAATGCCAACCCTGTTTTGCTCTGACTACTGTATTGAGCTTAAAGTGAAGGGGACTAAGGGGAAGCAGAAAGACCAACCTGGAGGAAACTGCAGCAAATCAGGGAAGAGACAGACAATGATGGCTCAGAGAAGGGGAACAGCAGTGGGAGGAGGAAGAAGTAGTCAAATCTGGGGTGCATTTTGAAGGCAGAATGAAAAGGATTTGCAGACAGCTTGGATATGGGTAATGAGAAAGAAAACTCAGATGACTCTAGTGGTTTTGGCCTGAGTAACTAGAGGGATGAAGTTTTCGTTAGCCCCTATTGGAAAGGCTAAAGGAGAAGCAAGTTTGAGGGAATAATTCAAGTGTTCATTTTTAGATGCACTGAGTTTGAGATGTCCATTAGACATGCATGTAGTGATGTTCATTAAATAGGTGGATGTCTGAATTGAAAGTTCAGAAGAGAGTTAGTGTGGTCTACAGGTAGAAATCTGGGAGCCATCTCCATGTGGGTGAGCCATATAGTTAGGAAACTAGGTGAGTTGACCAAGGGAATGGGTATAAATATCTGAGAGAAGAGGTTCCTTGACATGCTTCATTCTGAAGAGGTCAGAGAAGAAGAGCCAGCAAAGGAAACTAAGGAGAAGCAATAAATTTAGGAGGAAAACCAAGAAAGCATGGTCTTCCAGAAGCCACATGAATACAGGTATCAAGGAGGAAGGAATGATCAGTAATCAACTGTTGTATCCTGTTAATAGGCCTTGGAAGATGAAGACTAGGGAATGACACCAATATAGCAACACTGAGGTTACTGGTGACCCTGATAGGAACAGTTTTGATGACATGATGGGGAAAACGTCTAAGGTTGGCGTTCTCTCTAAAGTAAAAGAGTGGGAGAATGAAAATCAGAAACACCAAGTATAGTGCTTTTGCAAGAATTTTTGCAATAAAAGGTGAGGAGAGAAATAGATTTACTAGGAATTTGGAAGTTTATCAAACCACACACTTTTATACAGTGAGGATGATCCAACAGAGAATGACAAGTTGATTAGGTGGGACAGAAATTATGACAAATCAGAGAGGGTAAGAGAACTGAGGCTGGAAGTTACCACATGAAACTGGCACTGGTTATCAAGGAAATGAAGACCGTACTGGACCTTGGGTTTAGGTGAAAGAGAAGAGAAGACATAAAGAATAATAAGCAGTAGGGAAGTAGAAAAGTCCCTGGATTAGAAATCCCTGTGGAGTTGAAGAATTGAGAGAATCAGGGTACTAGAGGAAGTAGGGATGAAGGCATTGAGATATAGGATATGGGCTTCTTGAGTTCCTAGAAATGACAAGAGCAATAGAAGACCACTTTCTCCATGAGGGTAGAGAAAGATGATTGGAAGAAAGATGAAGGAATGGAAATACTGGACATTGAAATCTCCAGGATTTCAAATGGACGTTGAAATGGATATTGAAATCCCCAAGAACTAGGGCAGAGGTAGAGTTAGATAAAGGGGCAGTGGGCCCAGAGCTAAAATCCTTAGGAGTAAAGGAGCACGACCTGGGATCCATGAGTAAGTAACAACAATTAGGAGAGGCGGATTCCTTCCATTCAAACACCATAGACACACCCAGTCCTTCACCAACTCCACATCTTCCTAAGCCTGTGTATACATCTAATCTCACCCCACCCCAAATGCTTCACAACCCAGACATCCATGCAGGGTTGTCAGTACCCCCACAGTGGCTGACTTAAGGCTGCCAAAGTGATGTGACTGAACACAGAGTTGTGAAGAGACAGGAAGCCCAGCCCCATTCCGGGGGACAGATTCCCACCAAATGCTCCAGCCACACGAGGCCAGGCACACCTCCAACACCACCTCCTCACCATGGAGAGCTGGAGTGGACGCACAGTGGCATGCTCCTCAGGTGCGAAAGTTGAGAAGGTTGTGTACATGGGTTTGGAAGGTAGAATTTCAAAAATCAAATTAAGCAAAAACTTATCCATATATCTGCCAGTCTCCTAAAGGAGAGAGGATACCCACCCCATGGCCAGTTAGCATTTCCTGGGAAGACAGAGCCTTCTCCTATCAGAGTTGTAAATCCTAAAATACTCCCAGCAGTAACTGGCCCTGGCTCCAGACTGCACACCACCTTCTGCCTTGGACCGGATTTCCAAGGCCAGTGTGCTCACAGGAGAGGACTCAACAGAGCCTAGCTGTCCTCTTGTCTGCAGGTTGGGGTGCAGGAGTGGGGGTTGGAATCCAGCGAAATGACAAAAGCAGGTCAGCCTCTGGGCCAGAGCATCCTCGCCCAAGTCCAGGCCATCCAGCCCTAATCTCTCAGGACATGTGCCTGGCAGCCAGGTTAGCCCTGGTTCACAGTCATAAAACCCTACAACACTTGAACAGCTGCACAGAGCTCCATGTCCTGACATTAAACCCAGAAGATTCTGGAATCAGACAGTCAGGGCTCTAATCCTATAGATACACCCTGACCATCTGGGAAAACTGCCTTGGAGCAGCTGGGCTTGGATGTGAGAAGAAATGCCATCCTCTGAACCAGAGAAACATAACAGTTTCCGCCCCAGCACAGGACGGGACTGGGGCCCCAGCTCCAGCTAGCTGGATGGATCTCCAAGATGGAGCCTCTCTGGGATTCTCTGCAGAGCTCTTGGGTCCCAGTGCCAAGAGTTTCCTGTTCACATTAGGCCACCCTTGCTTGGTTCTTGACATTGTAACAGGGGCTGAGTTTGCTCTCCAACATCAGGGCACCAGTTTATTTCTCACCCCCTCCCCAGTGCTTTCTCCGTCAGAAGGCTGAGTCCCTGCCTACCATCTACTCCTGCTGCTTGACCCAGTGTAGGCTCTACACAACCAGATATGAGTCTGTTTCCATGGAACCCAGTCTGGATGCACATACTCCCATGTAAGTATACACACATCACTGAGCATAGTGTGCAAGTATTCGCACATATGCACTCACTTATTTGGTATACAGGCTTGTATATATTCATAGGCAAAAAACAAATGTACACTTACATATATATATTCACTCACATGTGGGCACAAATATGTATATCCAATGCACACACATAATCACATACCTTGTACATACATGTCCACACATACTAAATAGATAAAGTATATGAACACAAATATATATAATCATGCCTATATATACACACAAATATCTAATTGTATACATTCATGAACATATTCAGATTTGTGAATATCTGTCTTTTTATCTACATCCAAATACATGCATGTTCATCTACGCAGTCTGTACATTTTAGATTTGCGCCCACACTTACATGTTCATTTAAATGTGCAAACACATTCTCATGCTTATGCATGTACCCACATTCCTAGACATGTTGATTAAACTTACATTCATGTAAATAGTCACGTAAGAGCTCCAAAATATTATTTTATATGCATACACTTGTGTATGTACATAAACCCTTATAAAACATACAACCATGCAGCATGAATGTAAACACGGTAGAAGGGGAGTGCTAGATTATACTCATGATAACATGTTTCATACCCAGGCCCTTCCTAGCAAAAAGCAAAGCCTGCTCAGGGTCCTCACTTACCAGGTGTGGCAGGGTGACGTCACCTGGTCCCCAGGGAAATACTCCTTCCCCTTCCAAGTGCATGGGCACTCCTCTGGCAGGAAACATGCATCCCCATGTCTGAGCAGGCTGTAGGAACACAGCAAGCACGGGATCAGGGGAGCTCGCTTCCTCGATCTGCATTCTGTGGAAAATTGTGCAACACCTGGATGCCCTGGGGTAGTTCTCAGCATTGACCCTAGAAGAGACCAACCATGTGCCACTCCCATCCCTCTGCTTCCCAGTGAAGTTGAGGCAACTTGGTAAATGGAAAAACCAGAGACAGGCTTGCTTGGCCCAGTTCAGAAGTCTCTGCCACCCATCCGTAGCTGCTCTGGCCAGGAAGATGCCAGTTACCATTTAGGCACCAAGATTAAACTAATAAACAGACCACAGTCATGGACGGCAGCCCTCCTACCAATTGTTCATGGAGCTCTCAGACCACGAGTCCCAAAGCCACAGTGATACCACCTTCTGGTCTGGTTTCCATGAAATCTGATCCACTCCAGGCAGGAGCCAAGGACATCTCAGGCAATTTATTGAAGTCCTCAGGTCACAATTTCAGGCCATGCCCAGGCATCATCAGGGTACAGTTGGGGCAAGGGTAAGACTACAAGCTTTGGTAAGAAGCAAATTTTAGTTTAAGTCCCGGATCTGCATAGGACAAGCTATTTAACCTTCTTATTTTATTTTTCAAAGAAAAATCAGTATATAGTTTTAAAGGCATAGAGAAACACTGTTACAGAGACTATGAAAAGAGTCCCTAGTTGGCTCCTCCCTGTATCCAAATGTTCTGCCTGGAAGCACTTCCTGGACTATAGTGCAGAAAGATGAAATTTAAGTAAAGATCCATGGGTCGCTCAGCAGAAGAGATAAACTGGAGTTCAGGGCTTCTGAGGTGGCTCCAGATAGGATATAAAATAGGAGGGATCTTCTCGGAGAAAAAGTTTGGGATTCTGCATAGATGCTATCTTAAGTCTTTGATCAAATACTAAATTGGGCATAAGCAAGGAAAGATTTCTGAAGGCTTGGTAGGAGACAGCTATTGAGCAAGTGTGAGAGTAATGGAGATTTCTGATACAATGCAGTTCTGGGAAATGTCAGGATTCTGTCTTAGACAGAAAGAGTTCCCTTAACACCCCAGGCTTTGGGAATAGCGGTACTGTAGACAAACAAACAAATCTCAAACGTATGTCTTGAAAAGATCAAGCTAATGAAGCAGTAAATTAACTGCCTACTGTATAGAAATTCAACATTCAAAGTCAACACAATAATGTTTATAATGTCCAGTACCTAATAAAAAATTTTACATATAAGAAACAGAAAAATGTGACCTTAACCAAGAGAAAAATCAGTCAATAATTAAAACAGATCAAAAAATGATGTACATAATAGAATTAGCACACAAGTACGTTTAAGCATTAAAAGGAGGAAGATACAATGAATGAACTGTATGAGAATCTCAGAAGCTTAAGAACTATTTTTAAAAAGGAAATTCTGAAAACATAACATTAAATGAATATTTTGCTGGAAAGGCATAACAAAACTAAATACTTCAGAAGCAAAGATTAGTAACTTTGAAGCACAGTAAAAGAAACAGTACAATATGAAGAAGAAAGGCTGGGGGAAAAATAGAGTTTCCTTGACCTATGAGATAATATCAGGTACTCTAATAGAAGTATAATTGAAATCTCAGAGAAAACAATGGGGAAATAAAAATATTTGGAAGAATAATGGCTGAAATATTATCAATTTTTATGAACTCTATGAACTCCAAGCACAATACATACACACATGTATACAACATAAGCATATCAAACTGTTGACAGTTCAAAATGCCAATATATATTATATAGCAAGGTAATAATGATAAAAATTAAACTAGTAAAAGAAAAATTACTAACCTAGAATCATGAATTATAAAAAAAACTATACAATTGACCACCTCCGGCTAAAACAATAAACAAGAGAAAACTCAAATTACCAATATCAAGAAAAAAGAGATGATATAACTACAGATCCTACAGACATTAAGAAGAAAACAAAAGAATAGAATTACAGTGTTAAGCCAATAAGTGTGACAACTTAGATGCTATGAATAAATACCCTAAAAGATATAAACTATGAAAATTCGTCAAAAAGGAATAAAAATTTGAATAACCCTCATCTATTAGAGAAATTGAACTTGAAGTTTAAAATTTCTCCATACTAGTAAGTTTTATCAAGCATTTAAGGAAGAAATAAAACCAATTCTAAGCAAACTCTTTCAAAAAAAACTTGAAAAAGAAATAATGCTTCTCAACTCATTGTATAAGGCCAACGCTACTCTGATACCAAAATTAGATAAAGATATTTCAGGTAACGAAAGCCATAGACTAAAATCTCCTACAAACATAGAATATTAAATAATACATCATGACTGAGTTTATCCCAGGAATGCAAAGTGGGTTCAATACTAGAAAATCAACTTTCACAATTTGCCAAAGTAACAAAGTAAAGTATCATTCAACACCCATTTATTACAAAGACTCTCAGCATACTAGAAATAAATCTGGTAAAGGGCATCTATAAAAACGTTATGGCTTACTTCCAAAACTGCTATATAGATTCAATGCAATTTCAATTGAGATCCCAGCTGCATACTTCACGGACCTTGAGAAAACAATCCAAAAATTCATTTGGAACAAGAAGAGACCCAGAATACCAAAAGCGATTCTAGGTAACAGAGACATGGCAGGGGATATTACAACCCCCAACTTGAAACTTTACTACAAAGCTACTGTAAAACTACTACTAAAAACAACATGATGTTGGCACAGAAACAGACCTGAGGACTAGTGGAACAAATTAGAAGATGCAGAAACAATGCCAGACAACTCAGCCATCTCATCTTTGATAAAGGAGCCAAACAACCTCACTGGAGGAAAGATAGCCTCTTTAATAAATGGTGCTGGAGAAATTGGGTTTCAACTTGCCAAAGATTAAAGCTAGACCTATATCTCTTGCCATGCACTAAACTAAAATTGAAATGGATTAAAGATCTAAATATTAAAATAGAAACGCTGAACCGGCTGGAACAGAGGTTAGGTAGAACTCTTGAA